TGGGGGGGGGGGGAGAGAATGTGTCCCACACCCCCCCTGCCCCCCCCACCTCCTGGGGCCAGTCGGCAGCGATCGGAGCAGCCCTAGCCAGTAAGCGGCATGGCAAGTGGCCAGTAAGTGACACCTGCTTACTTATGGCAGGGGTGGGGCTGGAATGCAGTGACACCTGGAGCAGGAGGGGAAAAAGCTGCCAGCAGGACCATGTAGACACAGAGGGGGAGCCTCTCTTCTGTGAAGAACTTCTCCATCCTCCTGGGGCCAGTCGGCAGCGATCGGAGCAGCCCTAGCCAGTAAGCGGCATGGCAAGTGGCCAGTAAGTGACACCTGCTTACTTATGGCAGGGGTGGGGCTGGAATGCAGTGACACCTGGAGCAGGAGGGGAAAAAGCTGCCAGCAGGACCATGTAGACACAGAGGGGGAGCCTCTCTTCTGTGAAGAACTTCTCCATGGAGACAAAGAATGGGGAAGGGAAACTGAGGCACAGAAGGCAAGCCACTTGCCCAAACTCATGCTGCAGGGCAGTTGCGAGTCTCCTAGTCCTCTGGCCTGGGCCCGATAATAACCCCAATGTCTTCTATAGCCCTTTCCCTCAGTAGGTCTCAAAGGGGCTTTAGAAAGGTGGATCAGTATCCTTATCCCTATTTTACAGACCAGCAGTAGAGGCTGGAATACAGGGCCGACCTTAGGGTAGATGGGGCCCGATGCAGGGCTGTTAAACTGCTGCCCCCGTGCACAGCGACAGCCTGGGAGGGAGTTGATGACTTTTAGAGCTGTGGTTTTATAATCTTCCGCAACACACTGATGAAATATTTTAAAGCACATTTTAAACAAAGGTCCTGTAGACAGGTAAGGATGGCCTTGGCGGAACAGACATCCTCTCACTTCAGTTCCAGGCTCGCTGCATGTTGCGTACCAGTAACATCGCATCACCGGCATGAATAACAGTCGTGTGGCCAGTTGGAAGAGCTGCAATTCACTCTAAATCTGTTGAAGTCGACAAAACCAATAAAAGCATCAAATGACTCCTCTCGTGTCTGCTGCAAATCCTTCAGACAATCCTAAAGTGCAGCGCTATTACATTTGCAAACGGCTCCCAGGAGAGCGGGTGATGTAATTACAGGCAGGTTTCTCCAGGAAACTGACAACGTGCCCATGATGCAATAATGTTCAATACTGGTCGAGGGTGGAAAAAAAGGAATGAAAATGAAATTCACAGGACAGCTGACAAACCTGGGTCATGCCTAATGCTCCCGCTATCCCTGAACGTGCGATGCTACTCTGGAATGTATGTGTGTGTGTGCGTGCGTGCTCTCATGGTTAGCTTACAAATAAGAGGCAAAACTTATTGTGGGCTTGGAAATGCAGCAAAGCTTTTGCCGTGCTGGTGCATGGTCACAAGCAATACCAATTCTGCAGGCTTATTTCTGTCTTTGGAACCAAGGGGCAAAGGTCAGGGGAGAGGCGAAGATGCTGTTTTTGCATAGGCTGTCCAGATACAGGGCTTTTGAGAACTGACAATCTTTTTTTCTCTGTAAAAATAACGAGAAGTCCTGTGGCACCTTATAGACTAACAGATGTACTGGAGCATAAGCTTTCATGGGCAAAGATCCACTTCGTTAGATGCATGTTTTTTCTCTGTGTAGTATAACTCTGTCATGGTCATGAGGATTAGCCAGCAGCCTGGGGACTAAGGGGTTAACCTTACCTAACCAGGTACATTCAGCCAATAGGAATGTAGGTAGGAATTTCAAACTAGGACAAAGGAATGTTTGGTTTTTCCCCTCCTTTGTCTCTTGAGTGTTCCCTCTAGCTTCTGAGGGAAACAGACACGTCTCTGTCTCCAAGAAACAATTCTTCACTTTCTGTAAGTAGGGTAAAGTTTAGATAACTCCATTAGGTTTTATTGTTGTATGGGTGGGGTATGGGATCTGATGTCTGTGCACTATTAAAAAAAAATGGTTGGCTTTTCTTCGTAACTAAGTTCCAGGCCCATGGAGTTTCTCCATGAGTATTTTATTTGTTACTTTTCCACCTAGGTATTATGCTTGCAACAGGAATATCGTGATGATAATAAAAGTTTTTCTCTTTTCTTTTCTTAACCTGGCATTGGTTAATGGTTGTGTCCTGCTTTGTACTTTAGGGCTGAGATTTCCCAAATGATCTCTCCCCTGATTTTTCACATCAATACTTGGGTAGTGGCAGCAGGAGTTTTATTCCCAAAATCTAGGTTGTTAAGATTTGGGGGGGCAGTTTTATACCAAAGCCTGGTAGATAAGGTTTTGGGGTACTTGCTGGCCCCCACTTCTGCATTTATTGTGCCAGAGTGGGGAAGGAGCCATGACAAACACTTAGGAAGCCTGGAATGCACTTTCCTGCACTGACAGTTCCCTTCCCTCCATTGCAGGCTTGCTTATTCTGCGCTTGCCTGGTGGTGATCCCGCACACGGAAGCAGAGGACAATGGAAGGTCTCCAGTAATTAACATCGCCCTGAGGTGGGGCTGGCCGGTCAGTGGACACTTCTTCTTTTCGGCACAGCCCGGCTTGTGGAGAGCACCCACCTTTCTTCCTTGCCGTGGCGGCTCTCTCCTGCTGGTAGGAAAAGCACAGTTCAGAGTTTGCTGGCATTTCTCTCTCTGCTGCAATGGATTTGTCCAGCAAGCACAAGGGCACATCTGCTGGCTGCTGGAACAGATTCTTCCAGGTAGGGTCACCAGTTAGCTCGGCGTGTTAGGGATAGTCTGGATATTTGGGGCTTTTCTTATACAGGTGACTACCACCTTCCACCCCCCCTCCTGATTTTTCACACATGTGTCTGGTCACTCTACTTCCAGACCAAACCATCTGGACCCATGTTATATGGAACGTTGCATGCTCCTGGTCATACCATAAGGAGGAATGGGCGGCAGAGGGGTAGGGGTGGGTATTAGGGAGAAGGAGCAATGAGGAGGTGGGGCTGAAGAGAGAAGGGATGATGAAGGGGCGGGGCTTCCAGGGGAGTGGGCAGCACCAGTGGCCCTCTTACCTTGCGGGAGCTTCCACCACTCATCACCTGGGCCAGATAAATTTGGCAAAACAATTCCTTTTGTAGCAGAGCACATCTACCTGCTACACGCTGCAGCCCAGCCCCACACTTTTGCTTCCAAGTATCTAAAGGAAAGAGAGAACCTACATTGCAGTGGGAATGCCAGACAGGTGTAGAGCTGCCTTACCGAGAGCTGGCTGATATGTTCCAGCCACTTCCTCATCATCTTCTTCTTCCTTCTTTTTCTTTTTTTCTTTCTTCTTCTTAGTGGATCTGGGTTGGCAGAACCATTTTGCTTCTTTGTGTTGCATTCTGCAAATTGGCCTGACTGGGGGAAAAAAACAAAAACCCCTCTGCAATTGTTTTAACGTTCAAACCTTTTGTTTCATCGCGTTGGAAATGGACGCCGTGTTGGGTTGAAATGACATTTTGTTTCCAAAGTTTCTTTTAAGAAAGTGTTCCAGTGGCCAGCATTGACGCACAACCTTTCCTTTGGGGTCAACAGAAATACTGCGGCCAGCTTGAAAAATGGTTCTTATGATGCTTTGCCTTGCTGAAAATTCAGAGAAACGTTGCGTTTGGGTCCACTTGAAATAATGTTTCCCCTCGATTTCTCAGAACTGCCAGCAAACCTCCCTCCCCCATCAAAAAGTATCCCTTTACCTCCTCCCCTTTGCTGCAGTGGGTGTGGCCAAGGAAAAAGGGGCGTGGCTGGAGAGGCCTATTTCCCTAGTAGCTGGAGCAGTAAATTACAACAGCCATCAGGATGCTGTGATTTGTACCAGGGACCAGCTGGTTCCTGAATGGCCCCAGGAACAGGAACACATCTGTTGCTTTAGCCCCCTCTCTCCTGTAGCCGGGGTAGGTGGCACTCCTACAAGGCTTGGTCCTTTCTGTGTTTGGAGGCTCGTCTAATCGCTATTGGTGCTGGGAGAGCCTAGTGCTTAGTGGTTTAATAGATCGTGCGCTTTTCCTGCTGGGTTGGGGAAACGAACTCACGCTGAGATGAATAAATAAATGAAACAAACAAGTTGTAATTAGGTGGCTCGTCCTATGGGGTACAAAGTTGCTTTCTAAAAGGTTACTGACTAATAGCTGCTGGCTGGTAGCAGAGAGCTGTACACCACGGGTAGGGTGGAAATAGGTTTTGCCCCAGGTCACTGTCTGTGGCTGACTCTCTGGGTCTCTCTGAGTTAAGCCCAGCCCTGTAGCTGGTAATCATCGCTCCGGAGCCGTTTATTTCAGTCCTAACTCCTGGTCGCTCAGAACCTACCAAGCGTTCCCCACCAAGAGCGGTGGGCTACTAACATACACGCTCCCCAGAGCCTGGAATTGAATCCACGGGTCCCCAGTTGCTCCGTCCCACTGCCGTCGGCAAATAACAGTGAGGCCCCCCAGGAAACTCTGCGTCTTGCCCCAGAAGCCAGAGCCCTAGCCAACGGGCCCCTTTGGCTTTCTCTCCCCAACTGCACTAAAAGAGGAGCAGGAGGGGGAACTCGCCAGTGCTTGCTCTGAGAGCTTCAAGAGTCAGGTTAAAAAAGCAGGGTTGGGATGCGGGAACCCTCGATTCGTGATCTTCTGTTGTTTGGACCAATTAAAACTAGTCAGTTGCCACCTTCTTCCGCCAACTTCAGGCCTCGCTCTCTAAGAGCAAGAATTTGAGTAACGTGCGGTGGCACATCGAACGTTGTGCTTTTGGTAGCCCTGGGTCATTATCTGAAGTTAGCGCTTGGGCCTTCTTCCCTGCTAGCTTGTAGGCGGAACGTTTTCCTCCCGTTGCAGTTATGGTCTGATTGAAGAGCTTCACTCCCATTTCAGAACCTAGATAAGGGCTAGTAGCACTTTGCTATCTCCCGGGGAGCTAGGAGGTTCAATATGCTAAAGACAGAGGTAGTCAGACAGCATGGCCGGGGGGTACGGTAGTACCATGCACGGTGTGGGACTACTCTCCGCAGGGTTATTTTATTTGCTGGTTCACAGAATTTTTACTCCCCCGCTCTACACTAAACACAAACAACCGTTCCCCAAATGGAGATGGTAGGAGGTGAAATGATTTAAATATCCCTTCCCTTGGGACCTCAGCTTTGGATTCATGGCACACATCGCTATAATCTATCTCTACATTTCCCCCTGCGAGAGCTGAGCTGCAGTGTTTAGGGATGTCCTTTGGGTTTGGCATTGAACACAGTCAGCTAGAACAGTGTCCGGGACCGACCCGTGTGAACAGGAGTTTTTCCACTGACTTAGACAACTTTGGAATCAAGATGCTAATAATAATACAATAATATTGGAAGAGGAGATACAGGGTGCAAGCCATGCTGGAGCAACAGTGACCATATGGAAGATATATCTGAGTCACCAAGTTATTGGGATCCATAAGGGAGAAAGGGGATGTTATTTTGCCGTTGTAATGTGCAGGGAGTCTCAGAGCTTGTGGCTTTAAAACTCTTTGAATTCTGCATTATAACACGGACTTGACAGCAATGGCTCTATCCCTGGTCCCTGTTACTTGCAGCAAATCATTGATTGGTTAGAGCACATCAACATTTCTTGCATGGAAACATTTTCTCTTCAGAAAATGCGGTTTAATTGAAACTGACCTGTTCCACGGGAAAATCGATTTTGGCCAAATGGAGTAAAATTCTGATTCGGAGACTCGAAACAATGTCGTTTTTTAATCGATATTTAGAATGGAAACGGCATTTTTTCCAAGTAGCATATGAATGTGTCCTTGACAGGCAGCAGCTTGGACTGTTTTTCAGTGTAGCAGAGTGCTGTGATTGTCAATATTATCTACGTGCCGCATAACAAAAAAAAAGCCAATTACTGTTCATTCTGTTTTGTATAGCACCCAACACTGTTGTATGTGTGCACCAGCGTTTGTTTGTTTTTTTAATGTATTTATCCTCAAAGCAGCCTGTGAGTTAGACGTGTTCTCCACTACATTTTACAAAAGGGGAAACAGAGGCATGGAGGCTAAGTGACTTGCCTGAGGTCATAACAAAGTCCGTCAGAGAAGGAATGTGAGTCTGCCTTTCCCAAGTCCTTT